TCAAATTTTAAATTTCAAAATATGCTCAAAAGTAATAATAGTGAGACGAAGAGAAACTGGTCAGTTTCACAATATAAAATTTTCGGTATAATTTGATTGAAATTGATCTGTTTGATTTTTTCAGTGATCCGTCCATAATGGTTTTTAAAAAACATAGCGATATAGTGAAAACAAAACATTAGCTGCTGTTGAAATGAAAAACATGACTTCATTGCTGTTTTAGCTTATTGTTGGTCTGTTAAATTGATTCAAGCGGAGCAAAGTTAATTTGCAAAATACTAATGCAATCAAAACAAAAATGGGAAAGTTACTAGAGATTATCATTAAGCTTGTCTGAAATCAGCAAATAATAGTTTCAAATGAACTTTCCAAATGATAATTCAGTCGTAATTTTGATCTTGTTAGATCCATTTCAGGATTCTAGATAAAATGAATGAGTAATAGTATAACTATAGCATAGCAACAGCAGACATCATTCTCATTAGCCCTCAAGTAAAAAAGGAGGCATATTGGACAAAGTAACCACTTCTGTTGTCATCTTCTGTCATCAAATAGAAACATTGGTCATCTGAAGGATCTGTGCACACAATTGTGTACACAAACTTCTTGCTACTATAAAGATCAGATGCGCACTTTTTCTTCTTCCCTGCTGCATCAGCAGTGCTATCATCCCACCACCTACTCTTCTGTCCTTGTCCCTCCATTTCTGTCATCACAGTGAGATACTCCTTCTGATCTGAGTTGACGCAAAAGGAGGTAATCACCATACTTTTATCTCTCTGCCGCTTGATCTTCGTGTCCAGTTCTGACCTGGATCTACTGGTGAAAATAGTTTAGTCTTTGTTTTCATATCCGTTGACAACAGTAGTTACGACAAGGAAGTATGTTTTACCCAAACAGGTAACACTCGTCACCGACAAACCAGGCATGTAGTGATCTTCGGGATCTTCGGTTTGTACAATTATCTGCGCTGTTATAAACATCTCCTGCATAAATGGATAAAATTTGCCACTTTTCTGGTCGACAGCTGGGGAATAAATGTTGAAGCCAGATTTTGAGTGAACTTTCATTTGCTCCTTGACTTCTTTGAATTATGAGCTCACCCAAAACTATTTCTTCTTGTCATTATATTTCTTGTGGTGATCAAATACTGATGAAATATAGTTGTCGTGTATACTCTGCGAAATCAAAGTCTCCTGATTATTGTGTGTAAAAAAACGGATGAAGTCAATATAGTTTGTTTTTTTTGGTACTTTCGAAGGCCACGGAATTCAGTGAACGTTCCTCTGCTGAAAAGGGGTTCAGTTGAGGGTCGACCATCTTTGAGTTTGCTCTCATTACCTGTCATGTAGTGAGTCAGCTCACCTCCACCCTCTGAATTGCCAAACATTTGGTTCTTGTTTTCATCAGTTTTTTTTTATAAAATTTTCACCAAGAAATGGTATTATCACTGCCCGGGTCCTTGGATTCCAAAAAGTGAAAAAGCGAAAGAGAACAATTCAATGAAAAACAAGAAATAAAAGGTAAAGTCCTGAGAATAAAAAATCACCAACGTAATTTTCAGAGCTCTTGTAACAATAACTAAACTTACTTTTCAATTAAACACTTTTCTTTTGAGTTTTAGTATCGATGCATCAATTCAAAACCGTGAACAAATTGGACTTACAAGAAAATAGAGCGATGGAATTCATGTATACATTGAAGCTGTATCACAGTCATTTCTTGTTTATAGAAAATAGAAGATTTTAAAATTCACCATTTTCTTGTTTTTGACTCGACTTCACTATAGGATGCAACTGGACAAGTAAATTATCCAGAACTTAGTGGAGAAAGCTTGAGATTACGAATGTTTTTCCAATTTCCCTTGGAGCAAGTAACGGAAGTGATAGTCTCGGCGAAAGACTATCAAATATTCAAATTGACAACTTCGTAACAGTCGCCTAAAACTTTAATTTTCTTTGAAATTTCAGATTCCTAAAAAAAAATGTGTAACTGTTTTGGGACTTTTCGTTTTTATTTGTCTCTAGATTATCTATTTTGCGTTTCTTCAGACCTATATATCCTGAATAAAAAAAGACAATGATTGTTGTCTAATTGAAAACCCGAGAAGTTTCAATAAGCTGGACTGTGAAACAAATTTCAATAATTTTTGTCCAGCACATAAGACTTATGTATGGGACTTCGTTGAATCAACACCTAATTGCGTGTAAATCATAAACCTTAATTTCTAAACTTAAAATGTATTATCAAGCTATCAGTTTTTTGTTTTAGATATAAACCAACAAACAATTGCAAAGATGGATAATTTTTCACTTCTGAAAATTATCGAGGAATTCCTGGCTCAAGTATATGGGTTCCCTGTGATAAGGTTGCTCAACTAACAAAATACTCTTTTGCAATAATTGATTCAACTCCAAGCAATAATAGAGGAGAACACTGGGTCATGATTGCTCGATTGGAAAAAAACATATACTTTACTGATTCTTTGGGAAGTAAACGTTTCAACTTTTCGTTTTTATAGAAACATTTCTAGCGCATGGTTCAAAAGAAACTTCAAAAAACTGATCATTTGTGTGGTTTTTACGCAATTTATTCAGCATTCTTCTTTTTTAAATTCTAAAGAAGAACTTGAATCATATTCATGACGTTTTATCAAAAGTTTTATGTAAAAACGCGGTTTGTTACACTTTTAAAGAATGTATATTGATTCAATAAAGTTTTATATGAGGTGGTGATTTTTACTGTAACTGGAGTTCTACAACTTTAACTTTATATTTTTAAACAAACTTATCTTCATTTTTTTTCTTTTTAAGAAAAGGAAACTTGCAATTTGTGAAGTTCAGTTGAGAATATCCGGAAATTTATAGGAAACTTTGTAAGAAAAAAAGACTTTTTTTTTGAATAGTGCGAGCAATAAAAACTAAAAAATTAAATTGAATGTGATTAGTTATAAGAATAATTGTGAATAGGGAGTTTTTCCGGATATTTTTAAGAGTTTACTTCGAGAAACATGTATACACTTTGAATTTTCAAGATCCACAGACACAACCTTGTTCATCTCTACCACAGTAAACTTCTGAAAACATTTGGTGTAAAATGATAAGAAATGACAAATGGTGTAAGATTGAGAAAGAAAAAAGATGCAATTTTGCAGTGAATGGAGATAATGATTCAGGAATTGAAATTGGAAAACGAAAAAATTCAACTGGCAATCGAATCGTAGTTTTAAATTTGAGCGAATGAATTTCAAAACTTTTTCTGCTATTGCCAAAACTAACCCCATCTGTTACACTAAACAATTCTCACGCTTAAGAAAACAAAAGTAATGTTTCGAGAAAGATTGTTTACGGTGATTTACCTCCATGCTCACAGTGGGGGATGACACCTGGTGTTGCATTTTTGACATAATTGTATGAGAAAAATCTTGTTCACTACCTTGCTTAAGTATAAAAACATAATACTTGTTTACATACTTCAGTGTCCTCATTCACCACGGGGGGGTTAACATCTGTTTTTGCAAATTTGACATAATAGCCTGAGAAAAATTTTGTTTATGTCCACTACCTCGCTCAAATAAATTAACAAAAAAAATGTTTACATACTTCAGCGTCCTCGCTCACCACGGGAGGGTAACATCTGTTGTTGCAAATTTGACATATTTGTCTACTTTGCTGAATAAACAAATATAAAAACTTGACTGCAAAAATTTCGATTTTTTTCGGAAACTTACAATCTGAAGCTTACCATCAAGGAAACTATCACATCATAATACATAGGGTTTTAAACACTCCCGTTTGGAATTTTTAGCACTGATGTATTGGTAAATTGGGCGCCAAAAATTTTTTTGAACTTTTTTTCTCAAAACACCATCTTACCATCTCAAACTCTGAAACCAATAACCTTAAAACATGGGCAAATTTTTTCCCTATGTTAATAAGTGCTGATCGGGTACCCTATAGCCTCTGTTTTTACATGGGGGTCAGAAACCCCCCAGAATTAATCAATCCAACATATACTTCTACCAACAAACGACCAAAAACTTGTTTTCTCAATCAGAAATGATTAAAACCAACCTACAGCGCAAACAAACAAAAAATTTAGGTCGTGTCTCATCCCGAAACTAAATATAAACTGTTTATATAGAAAAATATAACCTGTATTTTCAAGTTTCTTGTGTACTGGATTTTTTTTTTCGGGAGTTATTGTTTTTTTGCTCTTTTAAAAAGTGTAAGATCGCTTATGATACGATTCGGAACTACTGTTATGACGGGATGACGGGTGGAATTTTTTTAATTCATTTTGATACAAGAGTAATTTTTTAACTAAAAATTTTATCGCAGGTGGTCACTTTGATGGTCGTTCTGAATAAAAAATTTCGTTTTTCGAAGTTTTAATCAAATTTGTGTTTTTGATATATTTACAATTGATTGCATTACGAGGCCAAACAGTGCATTTTGTGAATGGTGAGCGGATTCCGCAACACGGACGCTCCCTATTTTTTTGTTCTTTCATTTCTTTTGATCGTTCCGACAAAATTTTAACGTGATTAAGTACTTGTCTCTGAAATCCAGAAACATACAGACACAAAATTGTGCCAATCCAGTGCTCAGTTTGGCCTCGTGATATGGTTATTTTCATAGAAATGTGGAGTTACATAATAATCAAACTAACAAATAATGGAAAGAGAACTAACTGAATTGTTTACAAGTTAGAGCGGTGCACATGGTAAGCAAGATTCAAACCACGTCTATAATACTCAATAATTATCAAACTAATCTTTTGATAATGATTGGAGTTTAATTTATAATCAATTTATTATGATCAAACATCAAATTATTAGCTCTAGTCTATTAATACTGAACTAACACTACTCAATTAAAATTTGCAAGCATACATCAGTTCTGCAACAAATTTTGGTAATTCCATAGTTCTAGTCACATATTGTCATTAAAAAACTTGTGATTTAAACTTCAATGTCCAAATTGATGTGGCAAATTTTTTTGAGCACCTAATTACTTGAAAGCGTAATCTAATATGGACATTCAAATTGAGAACAAGAGTGAAACACCAATATTTATGTTTTCAGGCTATCAAATTTTAAATGTCAAAATACGCTCAATAGTAAATACAGTGAGACAAAGAGAAACTGGTCACTTTCACAATTTAAAGTTTTCGGTATAATTTGATTGAAATTGATCTGTTTGATTTTTTCAGTGAAACGTCCATAAATGTTTATAAAAAAAACATAGCGATATAGCGAAAACGAAAGATTAGCTGCTGTTGAATTTAAAAACATGGCTGTTTTAGCTTATTCTTGGTCTGTTAAAATGATTCAAGCCGAGCAAAGTTAATTTGTGAAACACTAATGCAATCAAAACAACAATGGAAAAGTTACTAGAGATTATCATTAAGCTTGTCTCAAATCTGCAACTGATAGTTTCGAGTGATATTTCCAAATGATAAATAACTCGTTATTTTGATCTTGTTAGGTCCACTTCAGGATTCTAGATGGAAATGAATGAGAAACAGTATAACTATATCATAGCAACAGCAGACATCATCTCACTAGCCCTCAAGTAAAGAAGGAGGCATATCGGACACTGTAACCACTTCTGTCGTCATCTTTTGTCATCAAATAGAAACATTGGTCATCTGAAGGATCTGTGCACACAATTGTGTACACAAACTTCTTGCTACTATAAAGATCATCTGCCCACTTTCTGCTCTCCCGTGATCCATCTGCAGTGCTATCATCCCACCACCTACTCTCCTGTCCCTGTCCCTCCATCTCTGTCATTACAGTGACATACTCCTTCTGATCTGAGTTGACACAAAAGGAGGTAATCACCATACCTCTATCTCTCTGTCGCTTGATCTCCGTGTCCAGTTCTGACCTTGATCTACTGGTGAAAACAATTTGATCTTTGTTTTCGTATTCGTTGACACCAGCCGTTATTACAAGGAAGTATGTTTTACCCAAACAGGCAACACTTGTCACCGACAAACCAGGCATGTAGTGATCTTCTGGATCTTCGGTTTGAATAATCGTTTGCCCCGATCCAAATCCCTCCTGCATGTATACATAAAATTTGCCAGTCTTCTGGTCTACAGCAAGGGAATAAATGTTGAAATCGGATTTGGAGTGAACCTTCATTTGTTCCTTGACTTCTTTGAAGGATGAGCTCACCCAAAACTGTTTCTTCTTGTCATTATATTTCTTGTGGTGACCAAATACTGATGACATGTAGTTGCCGTGTATACTCTGCCAAATCAAAGTCTCCTGATTACCGTGTGTAAAAAAACGGTTGAAATCGTTATAGTTCGTTTTGGTGTACTTTTTAAGAGTAGGGAAATCAACGTTTATTCCTCTGCTGAAAAGTGGTTCAGTTGAGGGTCGACCACATTCGAGTTTGCTCTCATTACCTGTCATGTAGTGAGTCAGCTCACCTCCACCTTCTGAAATACCAACCAATTGGTTCTTGTTTTCACCATTAAAAAAAAACTTTAGATAGCATTATCACTGCCCGGGTGTTTGAATTTCAAACAAG